CACCACGCTTCAAGAACCAAATGTAAGAGAGCTGAAAGAACAACCACGAGAATACGGGCATAGGTTGCCGCGCGGCAGGGGAGCGTGCAAGGCAGCAGATTGAGAGGACGGCGAGCGATCCACAAGGATACTCAAGATGTGTTGGACGTTTTTGTTGGGGTTTCGAAAGGTGGGGCGGGGTGCCAACGCCTATCACATCAGCACGCCTTCATTCACATCATCAAGCAGCAGCCGACAGAATTGCTTCCTTCTGTTAAAACATATGTGTGTATGCTTAGTAGACTACATAGGGTCATGCCATAGAGAGTACAGCCCACTAGCTATATACCCCTGTATACTCCCATTCTACTCAATAATTCTAGCTCTGAGATGGTATCATGAGTAGGTTAGGTCCCCCCCGCCCACCCGCGCTTCCGTCTTAGGTCCTAGCCGGCCCCGTCGCCTAGTGCCTAGCCGCCCCGCTGGCCCCGCTGCCCCGTTGCCTAGCTGGCCCGTCGGCCCCGACTCCTAGCGCCTGCTGGCCCCGCGGCCCCGTTCCCTAGCGCCTAGCCGCCCGTGGCCCCGTTGCACTGCCACCTAGCGCATAGCTGCCCCGCTGGCCCCGCGGCCCCGTCACCTAGCGCCTAGCCGCCCGTGGCCCCGTCGCCCCGTCACTCAGTGCCTAGCCGCCCCTGTCCCACGGCGTCTCGTCACATGGCGCCTAACGGCCCTGTGGCCCCGTCGCCTCGTCGTCTTGCGCCTAGCCGTCCTACTGGCCCCGCGGCCACGTCGCCCCTAGCGTAGCCGCCCTGCCGCCCCATCGCCTAGCCGCCCCGTCGCCTAACCGACCCGTCGCCTAGCCGCCCCGCGGCCCAGTCGCCCAGCCACCCCGCGGCCTCGTCGTCCAGCTGCCTCGCGGCCTTGTCGCCCCGCTGCTCCGAGGCCCCGTCGCCCAGCCGCATCGCGGCCTCGTCGCCCCGCTGCTTTGTGGCCCCGTCGCCCAGCCGCCCCGCGACCTCGTCGCTCCGCTGCTCTAAGGCCGACGTGCCCGGCGTTCTTATCCCGTGGCTTGTCTCTGCGTGTGTGCACCAAGGTCTCCCTGTGTTGCGTCGTCACTACGACCGTAGTGGCGAGTTCGCCTCTGGCTGCCTTGGTCCCTTCTGTCATGCGGAGGGCATCATCTAGACGTACACCCTGCCAGACTCCCCGCAGCAGAATGGGGTCGCTGAGCGACGCATCGGTTTGGTCATGGAGGTTGCTCGTTCGCCGTTCGCTACGCCGCCCACCAGCTTAACGTGTGGCCGCACCCTCAGCAGCCGCAGGTTTTGCCGACCCTCTTCTAGACCAGGTCTCCTGGTGACGCATCTGCGTTCCACGTTTGGGGCTGCCTTGCTCACGTTCGTGCCTCTAGCACGGATAAGCTCACTGCCCGCACCATCCCCTGTGTCTTCCTATGTTTCCCCCTCGACTCGTCTGACTGGCACTCCTACCACCCGCCGTCTCACCGTTTCTTTCACTCTCGCGACATCACTTTTGACGAGTCCGTCTCCTTCTACCACCGTTTTCCCCACCGTGGTCCCCCGGTTATTCCCCTCCATTTCCTGGTTCCCCCTCCCTTGATCGCCCCTGGTCCTCCCCCTCCCTGCCCTGCCCCGTCTAGTGTGTCTCACGTCACCCCCCTCTTGTCGGTTGTCCCTGCCGAGGAATCTGCTGACTCTCGCGGCTCGGCGAAGTCCCTTCCACCGCCTGTCCCCGCCCCGGTCTCTCCTCTTCTGTCGCCGACGTTGCTGTCGCAACCGCAGCCACCTCCGCAGCTGTCGTCGCCGCTGCAGCCGCAGCCGCCGTCGTCACCACCGCTAGGGTTTGTGCGTTTTGGAGGTGTTGGGGAGCATGTCGGAGCGCGTACTGGAGCGAGTTCCCGTTCTGGGGGTGCTGGTGTGAGGCTTCTCGGAGGGAGCCGTGGTGCCACTGGAGGTTCTGGTGTTGGCGTCGGGCTGCAGCCGCCGCAATCGCTGCCGGTGTCCGCTCTTTGCCTCCTCGGCCTTCCTTCCCCTGACCGCCCGCCGGTGCCTCCTCGGTCACCACCGCCTCCTCCTCTGCCGATCTACGGCCCTGTTTTTCCTCTAGCGAACTCTTCTCCGGCTAGTTTCCCTCCTCATTCTCCTCCTGTATCTCCTGCCCTCTCTCATGACCCAGCTCCTCCGTCTCACGTCTGGGCTCGTCGTCCATCTCATGCTCGTCCTACCTCCCCCTTTCCACATTCTCACCCTGTGTTGCTTTGCTCCCCACGTCTCGTGCTCCTCCGCTCCTCCCGTCTCCTCCTCCGTCGTCGCTCGCTGTGGCCCCGCCTCCGTTCTCTGACTTCCTCCGTGCCAGACGTCCCCTTGTTCCTCGTGTCCTTGCCTCTCTTGTTACCGACCCGTTGGTTCCTGTCTCGAGTCTGTCGGCTCTTGTTGCTGCTGTTACTAACTTCGCCGCTACCCGCCGTCTTGACTACGCCATCGCTCTGGTCTCTGACCATGCCTGCGCTCCGTCCGTCGGGGGTGTGGCTGCCCTTAGCAGTGACGTCCTAGTGGACAGACAGTACGAGCTTACTTTCCTGTTAGAGGCCGCTCCCCATCTCTGTTCCATGCTACTAGTCCCTGAGGGTGACCTAGACGCCCTTGACATCCCAAGCGCTCGCACCTACGCTGAGGCCACCTCGGGACCCTAGACCTCTCAGTGGATAGTTGCCATGGAGCAGGAGATGGCATCTTGGAGATCCACCGGTACCTTCGTCGACGCAGTTCCCCCACCTGGGGTGAACGTAGTCGATGGCCAATGGCTCTTCAAGGTGAAGCGCCCTCCTGGAGAGCCGCCTGCCTTCAAGGCGCACTATGTTGCTCGTGGCTCCAGTTAGAGCAAGGGGGTTGAATTTTTTCATACCTTCGCCCCGACCCCGAAGATGACTACTCTTCGCGCACTGCTACATGTAGTAGCACAGCGTGACTACGAGCTGCACTCACTCGACTTCTCCACAGCTTTCGTCCAGGGCAGTCTACACAAGCAGGTCTACCTGCGCCGCCCCCAGGGCTTCTCCGATACCTTTCCCCCTAGTATAGAGTGGCTCCTCCGGCGCCTCATCTACGGCCTGTGTCAGGTGCCCCGTGAGTGGCACGACATGCTGCGTGCTACACTTGCTGACCTGCAGTTCTTCCCGTCGTCTGCAGACCCCTCGCTCTTCGTCCGTTTCGGCCAGACTCCGTTCTACATCCTTGTTTACGTAGACGATCTGGTCTTTGCTACTTCAGACAGAGACGCGCTGGCCTCCGTGAAGGCCGAGTTGCTGATGAGACACACCTGCACTGACCTAAGAGAGCTGTGCCGCTACCTTGGCTTGCAGATCTCTAGGGACAGAGCAGTGCGCACTATTACTCTCACACAGTCACACTTGGTGCGCCAGGTCCTTCAAAGATTCGGCCTTCAGTTCTCTTTCGCACAGCCCACCCTTCTGTCAGTAGACCACATACTCTCTGCTCCCGTCCCGGAGGAGGCTATAGAGCCTAGTGGTCCTTACGCAGAGCTGGTGGGTTGCCTCATGTAGCTGACGACTTGGACTCGTCCAGATCTCGCATACCCTCTCAGCATCCTGGCCCGCTTTGTGGCCTCCGGCAGAGACCGGCCACAGCACTGGTCTGCAGCTAAGAGGGTTCTGCATTATCTAGCAAGTACATCGGGCATGGGGCTACTGCTAGGAGGACGCAAACCAGTGGTCCTTACTGGGCACACAGACGCTTCTTGGGCAGAGGACGCCGAGACTCTCAGGTCCTCCCAGGGCTACTGCTTTAGCCTTGGTGCAGGTGCTGTCTCGTGGAGGTCCACCCACTCGTCGTCTCTTGCCCAGTCTAGCTGTGAGGCTGAGATCTATGCCGGTGACATGGCGGCACAGGAGCTCCGCTGGCTGACTTTCTTTCTCATAGACTTAGGTGAGCGGCCTAGCTCTGCCCCAGTCCTGTACGCTGATAACAGGTCCATGATCCTCCTGTGTCAGGGGCCTAGACTCGAGGGCAGAGCGAAGCACATCCAGCTGCGGTACTTTCTCCTGCGTGAGCTACAACAGCGTCCCCAGGCCCGCGTAGTACTCTTGGCCTCTGGTGCCAACACAGCTGATATCTTTACGAAGGCGCTTGCGCCTAAAGATCATCAGCGGCACTGTGTACAGCTTAGTCTTGTTCATTTGCACCTCATTTGCTAGGACCTTGGTTGTGTATAACTCTTTATATATTATCCTGACTGGCCTTGTGGCTTTCTCCTAGTGGCTGGACTAGTAGTGCCGCCCTGGTCTTGTTCTTGCCTTGTTTGTACTCTTTTGACTAGTCTTTAAACCCCTGCCTTAGAGGTTGGACTAGTAGTGCCGCCCTGAGCTGCTTGTCTCTTACCAAGCTTTGTCCCTATCTAGTCTAGGGGGTTTGTTAAAACATATGCGTGTATGTTTAGTAGACTACATAGGGTCATGCCATAGAGAGTACAACCCACTAGCTATATACCTCTGTATACTCCCATTCTATTCAATATTTCTAACTCTGAGACCTTCCTCGTCGCACTCATTGGAAATTTTCTTAGCCTTGTTTATAGGGGCAAAATAAAAGTTGGTGACTAGCACCTTAGTCGTGCTTGACATGCAATCACGCCGCCTACCGTCGAATTCGTTACCTTGAAAATCTTTAACTTCAGTATGACCTTCAAATCTCACTGCGTACCGGACTACCGGAGCTGTTATGTAGCGCAAATATGAGGAAACTCGCATTATTATAGAAATTTATGCCGTCAAGTTCAATGTGCTGAGGTGAGGTTTTTTGTTTGCTTGTGTGATTGTCCAATTTGTTTAGGTGAAGAACAACATTCGACTCACTTTGAACTGTATGGAGGCTAGGGTGTCTGATAACGAATGTGCAAATATTGCTTCCCGCTTTTCTCACTTCCCCTTTGGCGTTCTCTGGGCTGTGCTTGGCTCCTTCCAGCTATTATGCCGGAACCCTAGTTCCTAGAAAATATTTCCCTAGGACCACAGATTCTTTCGAGCTTGCGACGTTCGCCTGAAGGTAGCGCGATGTGTAACCAGCAGGCTGTCACAGCTCCACATGGCCTTGTGACGCGATATGGGCTCCGACTCAATCGCGCTCGCTCGCTCGCTATAGCGAACTCGAGTTTCCAGTCTGCTGACGTTGACGGAACAGAACCGGTTCCTAGCAGCCTCGAGTTGATCTCATGACGGCAATTTCACCCTTTTACCCCGTCTTCCAGTCAACAGCAAGTATGCTCCTCTGTTCGTAGACGAACCGCTTTCTAACCGCGGGCAATGGGCGATCTAAACGGAAGTGGGAGACGACTTCGTTTTGGGCAGCTAAACTCCAGGAGCTCAATGCCCAAAATTTCCGTGATTGAAGGCGAACGAGCCACGGCATTTGCCTCGGGCAGATGCGAACTTCGAGAATCGGCGTAAACCATTGGGCTTGGAGTGTAACCGCACACCACCGATTGCCTCAGCCGTCCGAATTCCCGGCTCCGATCCACAGAATGGAGCCAGCGTTTCGCGGAATAGTTTTTTTCCGGGCAGCAGATTTGGTTCTTCCCTTCGTCTCTGCCCACTGTGGTTCCCTCTCTCCATACGAGGTCCGTTCCCTCTGCCTTGGGACTGCCAACGCCTTCTACAAATGCAGACGCAGCTCTCAGACGTCATTTCCACTTCACTGCAGTTTCAGTTTCAGTTGTTCTCACTCTCAGACTTCTCGTTTTCAGTAGTATTCTTCGAACTCCTGCCCCTCGGCCGTTTAGCCCTCCCATCGTGCAATGGCCTCCCGGAGCTCCCCTGCTCTCATCGGATACACGAGTCGTTCGATCGACCACGCCTTCTGGCACGACTTCAGCGTGGCCGACGGTACGTGGTTGTACGCGCCACTGACTTCCCGCTCCATTGATCATGAGTTCTGGAAGGAATTCAGTGAAGAAGCGTGCACGTGGCTCTCTGGCCCGGTATGCTCGTCGTCCGCTGAAGACTCGTCCATCGAGCATGCGTTCTGGGAAGACTACACGGAAGAGGAGCGCACATGGCTGTACGTCCCGGGGTTTCCTTTCTGCGAGCCCGTCGTCGCCTTGACGCTTGGTGCTGCACCTGCTGCCAGCACCACTGCGATCGGCACGTTAACGACTGGCTGCAGCAGCATTAGCATCGCCAGCAGCAACACCAGCGGCAGCAGCATCATCAGCAGCAGCTCCAGCAGCAGCAGCAGCAGCAGCAGCCGTGGCTCCAAGCGTCCCAACAGCGCGGTCACGGTCACGAGCCAGAGGCGGAAGCACTGGCTGCGCGAGATTGCATTCCGCGTGGGGCGCTTCAACGAGGAGGAAGCGTGCAATCCGCGCTCCCCCCGTGCCTCGCTGGGCTTCTCCCCCCTGCGACCCAAGGCCGTGGCGAAGCCGGCGAGCAAGAAGCCCAGGCCCAGGGATGTCATGGCAAGCGCTGCAGCTGCTGCGAGATCCAAAGCGGTGCAGAGTGGTCAGGCAACGGCTGCAGCTGCAGCAGTCAAGGCCACGCCAGCTAAGGCCACGTCAGCTAAGGCCACCACTGCTAAGGTCCCGTCAGCTAAGGCCACGTCAATTAAGGACACGTCTGCTAAGTTCACGTCAGCTAAGGTCTCGTCAGATAAGGTCAAGTCAGTTAAGGTCGCGTCGGCTAAGGTCACGTCAGCTAAGGTCACGCCGGCTAAGGCGACGGCTGTAGGGCTTGGTGCTGCGAAGGTAGCAGCTACGAAGTGGACAGCTGTGAAGAGCGCAAGCTCTAACAAGGGTGCAGCCATAGAGGTTTTGCCAGTGAAGAACTCTCCTGCCAAGGCAGTGGAAGCGAAATGTGCAGGTGGGGGTGTTGAGAGGACAGCAGGCAAGGTCATGGGCCCCGCAGCAAGACAAGCAGCAGCACTGCCAGGAGCACCTGTGGCCCACACATTGAAGTCGACTGGCCATGGCGCGTCTCAGATCCCCAGGCCTGTGCAAGCAAGGACAGCAGCAACGGCTGTGGTGGGTGAGAGAGTGGGAGGGGTGGTGCCAAGGGAGGCAGGGCCAGCGTCAAAAAGCAGTGTGAAAACAACAAGGGCGGCAGCAGGCATGACGGCAAGTGGCATTCCGAAGCCAGGCAAGGCAGCAGGGAAGTGATTGAGGGAAGGGTGGACTGGTAGCGGTAGCAGCAGCAGCATCAGCAGCAGCAAGCAGATCCAGTGCCTTCCTAATGGGGATGTGCAGGGAAATGTGGTGTGGTTGAGATGGCATGGCTGGTGGGGGCTAGTGGGAGGTGCACGGAGGGTCGTACCCCTTTTTCCACCCTGCTTGCAGGGTGTTGCGGGAGAGATGGGAGGAGACGTGGAGGAATGTGGTCTGCTGGACGGTGGTCAGAGGGAATCCAAAGAAACCTGGATGGCACTGGATCTGCTGCAACATAGAAGATAGATTCTCTTTTATATTTATTGCTTAGATATATGGGTCTAGTGTGGTGATGTCTTATGATCTTGTAATAATTCATACTATAAAGACCAGGTGCGGTATCATTGCCTTCTTCAAGTGGGTGTTGGAGCATTGGAGGTGTGGGTGGAAGTGTGGGGGAGAGGGGGGAAGGAGTGAAGGGGGGATGAGGGGGAGGTGTGGAGCAATGTGAGTTGGTTCACAAGTTGGAGATGCACTAGTGGGAATGGCAGTCTTTCCATCGCCATTCCCGCATTCTCATCTTCCATTTGGCGTTTCTCCAGTCAACTTACCGTCGTCATTTCCACAAATTTCCAGCCAACGTCCCCAATATCTTTTCCTATTCTAATCCTACTGTCATTCCAATTCTCAGACGCCCATGAAACCATGGTCTGTTACCACCATGGCATGTTACAACCATGGCATGTTACAACCATGGTCTGTTACCACCATGGCATGTTACAACCATGGCCCATTCCCCCCTACTCCCCCTCCCTCTTCCCTCACTTCCCACCTTGCCATCACGTCTTGAACCGCTCGCGCTTTCGCATCACTTGAGCGCCGTGGCCATCCTGGACAACTGTGGGGCAGAAAGCTTGCATGTCCTCCGCACCCTGTTCTCCCCTCTCCCCCCACCTTCTTCCCACCCTTTCCTCCCTTCCACCAGGCGTTGAACCGCCCTCGTTGTTGCATGAGTGCCGGGGCCATCCTGGACATGACAAATTCCCATCGTCAGATCTGCATGTCAGATTTCAAGAGTCAAACTCCCGTGTCAGAATGCCGTTGTGAGAGATCCCATGTCAGAAGTCAATTGCCAGATTTCCATGTCAGATTTCCATTCCAAGTCAGACTCCCATGTCAGATTCCCCCAGTATTAGGTTCCCATGACTAACTCACATTGTCAAATTCTCTTCGTCATATCCGTATGCCAAATTCTCACTCGTTTTTGTTTTGTTTTTTTTGTTTTTTTTTTTCCATGTTCACATTACAGATTCCCGCTGTGATTTCCATTGTCAGCTCCCATGTCATATTCCTATCGTCAAATCAAATTCATATGTCGGATTTCCATTTCCATTTTGCCGTGTCAAACTCCCATGTAATATTCCAATTGTGAGATTCCCATAATCCGATTTCCACTTGTCAAACCTCCAGTTGTCAGATTCCTTCATCTCCTTCTGATAATTTCCACTCATTGTCACTTATCTCAGTTGTGAAATCTGAAGTATACTTCCTCCCATGCTTCTCTTCCCAGTCAATATGCCACTGTCAGATTTCAAGTCAACTCCCATTGTAGACGCTCCAAAACATGTCCCTGTTGTTGTTTTCCATGTCAACTTCCACACTCCCTCCCGGTGAGCTTCCCATTCCAGTCCCAGTCAAATTCTCATTGTCCATTTCCAGTCAACCTCCCATTGTCATGTTTCCATTCAACTCTCCGTAGCCATTCTCACAGTCATCTTCCTACTGCCAATGTCCAATCAGATTCTCAATGACATGTTTCCATTCTATCCCAGGACCCAACTCATCTCCCGAACGATTTCCAGCAATTGTCATTGATGTGCATTGTGAATTCTGAGACCTACCTTATTTGTTGTCTTCGCAGTGAAGCTCCCGTTGTCAGATTTCAAGTGAGCTCCCATTGTCCATTCCCAGTGAGGTTCTCATTGCATGTTTTCAGTCGATTCCCCAGACCATAGCCCTAGGCATTTTTCAATCAGGCTCTCATTGTCAGTTTTCCAGTGAGCTTCCCGTTGTCATGTTTCCAGTGGACTCGCCAGTGTCAATCTCCCATTGGCATGCTGTGATGATGGTATGGCATCCTGTTGGTGGTATGGCATGCTGTGATGATGGTATGGCATCCTGTTGGTGGTATGGCATGCCTCCTTCCGTTGCGCTCTCATGCGTGGGTCAGCACACACTGGGCCCATCCACCTCGCCAGCCAGTCAGTGACCATCTGTGCCATGCCCGTACCTCTCTATCCCATGCCTGATGCCATGTGTTGTGCTGCTTTGTGGTCGTTCCAATATCAGACGCCCTCCTGCATGCGGCTTGTGAGCTGAATCCTTCCATGGAGCCTCTCACATCACATCCCCACTGCCTACCTGAGCCTTTCTGTCACTCTTGGTGATGGTAATGTGTCCACTGCCACTGCACCAGACCAGACGTCACACTCGTCATCGCAACACCGTCTTTGTGTGTGTGTGATGTGCCTGTTTGCACGCCAGGCAGCGATTGGGATGGGAACGGTGCTGAATTGTCTTCTTTCATTGACCAGTTTTTCTTCTATGCATTGGTCCGTGTACCTTGGTGTTTGTTGTACCGTATATTGTCTGCCGTGCCTCCAATCCTCACTAATATTGAATGTAGTAAACTATTTCGGGCCAGGAAGATGGCCTGAGTACCTAAGAGCATCCCTCCCTTCCCTTCATTGCTGAAGTACTTCTGTTGGATTTTATTGTGAAAGGAGGTTGGTGCTATACTTCCTGGCTGTTCTTCTGAAATTTGCCTGTAAGCTAGGCTCGGCCGAAACTAGCTTACAGGCAAATTTTGGACGACACTGGCGGATGACACGACGCAAGAACGTGTCCCGGGAGCTCGCCAGTCTCAGAGTAGCTGAATGACTAGAATGAGGCATATAGGGAGATTTTGTGCTATGGTGTTGTACTCTCTATGAGCATGCATCTATCTAGTCTAAAAACATATACAAATATATGTTGACACACCCCCTAGGCTTGACAAGGTGCAATGCCTGGCAAGAGACACGCAGCTTAGGGTGGCACTACTAGTCCGGCCCAGGGCCTCAGATATCAGGATGTTTTATCCTGAATTCCTGATTTTCAGGATGAGTATGAGGTGCCAGACCTGAAAAATCCGATTAAATGAATTTCTGACCCTGTAAATTCAGTATGGTTATCATATGACAACCCTGAGAACTCAGTATAGTGTTCGTGTACCAGCCCTGACTGCTCAGTATGAATTCGAGGATAACCCTGATACCTCGAATCTGGCTTCAGGGGGGGCGCTACGGGTGTACCCCCTGTTTTCTGCCCATAGTTCCATAATTTTCGTGCCAGCGCACATTTTGCCTGTAGATTGTTGCCGCGAAATGACCAGTTTGCCGCGTGCACTGCAAATCCTGTAATTCTGGCCAATAGCGGCTAAGTATACAGCCAGCGCAGCGCACCACAGCCAGGCCTCAGAAGGTGTTGGGGTGCTGCGGTCCACTCGCTGACGCAGCATTGCATGCATGGATGGTTGGACGGCCAACCACTCCATGTGGGGAGGACCAAACTCCCGCGCAGCCATCGCTCATGGTCCTTCCTCCCCACAGCTCCCTTTCATGCCTTGAATCATCCAACCATTCTAGACGATAGAGCTTGTGCTCGCTGGTCTGTTTCTCTGCTGTGAACCGCCCCCTCGTTAGGGGGCACTATGCTTGCGCCAGGATCTGACGACGAGGAGGAGGCTCCCGACGATCCTTCTACAGCGTCCCACCCGGGTGCCGTGACAGGATTAGACTTACTGCGAAGAAATCCTCCCGCATCGGCACCTCCCCCTCGAACGCACACCGCTGAAGTAGTAGAGGAGGCATCTCGCCATGTTGTAGCAACACCACCTCAGCGAAGCACTACGCCCCGCACTTCTTTTAATCAAGGGTCGACCCGTATTGGACCGCCGTCGAAGAAGCTCGAGCCCTCACGCTATCGGCAGGCAACCCTGAGTTTCGGGCGGTCGCAAAACACTCCCGCTCCGACTCTGCACGTCGTCCCTCCTGTTGTTTCAGGACCATCTACAGCTCCGACTTCGTCATCGGACACCGAACTTGAAGACGTGGCCGAACGAAAGTACCAGGAGGCTCTCTGGCAATTTAAAAAGCGGTGGAGTACTGACTTTCCTTGGCTTGTGCTTAATCAGACCCGTGCAGGATTCCCGGCTTTGAAGTGTAAGACTTGCATGGAACATGGCGGGCACGGAACGAACTACGGCAAGGGCGGAGAAGGTGCGACCGACGTCCAGACGCAGGCGATGCAAAACCACCAGCGCACGCGGAAGCACAAGAGAGCGATGCGGAGACAAGCCACCGCCACTGCGATCGCTGAGGGGCAGCTGCGCATGGAGGACTTGGCGAAAACACATACCGTCCAGAGCGAGCGTGTTACTGCACTGCTGGAGACTCTGCTTTTCATCTGTCAGTCCGACGCGCCCATCGAGATGTGGGTGCAACTTGTGCGGCACCTCTCAAAGCGACGTACTCCTGGTTTTCCCAAACGAGGCTACGGGTCTTACTTCACAACGTAAGTCCTTGGGTGTTTTATTCGTTTACTATTTAACATGTGTTGATCTCTCGCATGTACTAATCTCCCTGCATGGTTTGCGCAGGTATGGCTTTCAGGAGTTAACCAAGTCGACAGCCATGTACCTTCGAGCTCGTCAACGGGAGCACTTGGAGTCAAGCCCGTTCATTGGCTTGAGCTGTGACGAGAGTACCGACAGAGTTCGTGGCAAGCACATGATTGTGTTTGCTACTTTCCTTCGCGAGCGCATTGTTGTCACAGAGTTTCTAACGCTTCTTCCTGTCGACAAATGTGATGCAGCTTCTCTGGAAGGCTCTCTTGTTGCTTACCTCGATAGCATCGGCATCAGTCTCTCAAAGGTGTCGGGCATCAGCACCGACGGTGCCGCAGTGATGGTTGGAGCCACGAACGGGGTCGTTGGGCGCCTTCAACAGCGGATCCCGCATGTGGTTTCTGTCCACTGCATAGCGCATCGGTTCGTTCATGCATAGACTTCATATCCCGTTGAGAAAACCGTGCACTAACCACTGTTTCGTCGTGTTTCTACTCCCGTCCATCCAGGGAAGCCCTCGCGGCCAGAGATGCTGCCAACGCGCTGCCTGAGCTGGGAATTGTGGATGCCATCATCCGCGCGGTTGCTGAGCTGCTGGGGCGTTCACACAACTGGCACAAGATGTTCAAGGACCTCCAAAAGATCTTCACGGCGACAAATCTGGAGATGCAAGGGATTCACCTTGTTCGGTGGCTCAGTCGTGGCGGCGCCATTCTGAGGCTGGTGGCGGTGCTTCCTGCCGTCATCGTTCTGCTGCACCTCTACGACAAACCCATGTACCACATCGTCACATCGTACAAGTTTCACTTTTTCCTGTACTTCCTCGCCGACGTGCACGAGGAGCTCAACAGCCTCAATCTGCTGTTCCAGAAGCGCGAGGTGAGCCATTGCGGTTGCAATGGTTTCCAACCAATTCAAACAAAAAACATACTGCCGTCAATAAAAAAATTACTTACTTCCTCGTGTTCTTATTTCATCCCATGACACCCTCCTACAGATCGACCTGACGGGCGTGCAGTCGCAGGTACGGCGAACGATCGTCTTCATTCGTTCGCGCTACGTCAACTGCGGGCCTAACTTCGGCACGAACAGCGATCGCCTGTCCAAGTTTCTGGAGCGCCACGCCAGCAACCGAGATGTGATCGTGCAGGGCGTCGATGCAGACGGAATGGAGCGAGTGCATCAATTCGAGCTTCACGAGGAGCCGCTGCCAAACTACACCACTGCCCGCGGCGACAAAGCTTCCTGCACGCTCACCTGTCGCTCCTACGCGACCGAGCTCATCTACAACGTGCAGCTGCGGCTCGGCGACCTTGAGCGGCTCAACGGGTCAAAGCTGTGGATGCCCCGAACATGGCCGCGGAACACGGAGGCGAGGGACGAGGAGTGCGCCGAGCACTTTGACAGCGTGGTCGAACTCTTCCACGCCAGCGACCGCGTTGAAATTCTGCCAGGTAAGGTTATCCATGCCAATGTATATTATATGCCCAACTTGCTAAAATATTGCAGTTCCTGTATGAGTGTTGCTGATTTACGAGTGTTGCTGTTCCTGTATGTGTCTGGCAGGAGTCGACAAGCGGCTGGCACGCAAGGAACTCAGCACCCTCGTGCCAGTGCTTGCTGGTGTGCCAAAAGAGGAGCAGCCATTCCATGCCGGACTTGCAGCCATCCTGGAGACCAGCGACTAGCCGCGCAGCTACCCGAATCTCGTGCGCCTGTGGGTGGCTGTGGCAGTGCTTCCTCTCAGCACTGTTGAGTGCGAGAGGGGATTCTCGCGACAAAATGTGATTAAGAGCTGGAACCGGACGAGTCTGTGCAACGGGAAGCTGGAGGATCTGATGTGCATGAGTTTGCTAGAGTATGACATGAACTGGGATAGGGTCATTGAGGTGTGGCGCGGCATGAAGAAGAGACGGCCAAGGAGGGCCCACCAGAGCGAAGTGCGTGCGAGGAAGTCTGCCAAGGGCAAAGAGAAAGTGGTGGTGTTGTCCGAAGAGGAGCATGATGATGAGGCACGAGCGGACGATGAGAACAGCTGCTCCAGCAGCGGGTTTAGTTCTAGTGATGATGAGGAGGATGGTGGAAACTTCTGAGTCGAGCCACATGTATGCTGCAGTACTGTGAATATTGATTATCTCTGGTGTTATGCTGCTGCTATTATTATACTTAAAGCAACATTTTGGGCTGTTTTGAAGATTACCCTGAGGCTGCAGTTAAGTGCTGGATGCCAACCCTGACAAAACAGCATGAACATTGACGTCCAACCCTGACCAGTACACGTGTTTTTAAGGCCTAGCCCTGACTAGACAGGATGCCCAAAATCCTAGCTGAGGCCCTGGTCCGGCCACTGGAATAGAAGCCACAAGATCAGTCAAGAGAATATATACAAAAGAGTAGTACACAATCAAGGACCTAGCAAGTGAGGAGCTACAGGAACTAGACCAAGCTGTACACAATGCCGCTGATAATCTTGAGGCGCAAGCGCCTTCGTAAAGATATCAGCTATGTTGGCACCGGAGGCCAAGTGTACTTCGCGGGCCTGGCGGCGTTGCTGTAGCTCGTGCAGGAGGAAGTACCGCAGCTGGATGTGCTTCGCTCTGCCCTCCAATCCAGGCTCATGACACAGAAGGATCATGGCCCTGTTGTCAGCGTACATGACCGGGGCAGAGCTAGGCCACTCACCTAAGTCGGTGAGCAAGAAGGTCAGCCAGCGGAGCTCCTGTGCCGCCATGGCACCAGCGTAGATCTCAGCCTCACAGCTAGACTAGGCAACAGACGACGAGCGGGTGGACCTCCACGAGATGGCGCCTGCACCAAGGCTAAAGCAGTAGCCCTGGGAGGACCTGAGTGTCTCAACGTCGTCCACCCACGAAGCGTCTGTGTGCTCTGTAAGGACCACTGGCCTGCGTCCTCCTAGCAGTAGCCCCATGCCCGATGTACTTGCTAGATAACGCAAAACCCTTTTAGCGCCCGACCAATGCTGTGGTCGGTGTATGCCTGTGGCCAAAAGCGAGCCAGGATGCTGAAAGGGTATGCGAGATCTTGACGAGTGCAAGTCATCAGGTATATGAGGCAACCCACCAGCTCTGCGTACGGACCACTAGGCTCTACCGACTCCTCAGGGACTAGAGCCGAGAGCCTGTGATCTATTGGCAGAGGCGTGGGCCGTGCAGAGAAGAACTGAAGACCGAACCTCTGAAGGATCTAGCGCACCAAGTGTGACTGTGTGAGAGTGATAGTGCGCGCTGCTCTGTCCCTGAAGATTTGAAGGCCAAGGTACTATAGCAGCGCAACTCTCCTAGGTTAGTGCAGGTGTGTCTCCTCAGCAGCTCAGCCTTCACGCAGGCCAGTCCCTCTCTGTCTGCACTAGCGAAGACCAGGTCGTTTATGTAGACAAGGATGTAGAACGGGGTCCGGCCTGAACGAACAAAGAGCGAAGGGTCTGCAGATGATGGGAAGAACTGCATGTCAGCTAACGTAGCATGCAACGTATCGTGCCACTCGCGGGGCGCCTACCGCAGGCCGTAAACCGGGCATCGAAGAAGCCACTCGGTCATAGGGGCAAATGTGTCGGTGAAGCCTGGCGGGTGGTGTAAATAGACCAGCTCGTGGAGACAGCCTTGAAGTAACGCTTTAGAGAAGTCGAGGGAGTGCAGCTCGTGGTCACGCTGTCTTGCTACATGTAGCAGCGCCCGAAGATTGGTCATCTTCGGGGTCGGGGCGAAGGTCTGCAAGAAGTCAACACCATCGCACTGACTGAAGCCTCTAGCCAACGTAGCACGCCATGATCACCGGCGGCTCTCCGGGAGAGCGCTTCACCTTGAAGAGCCACCGGCCATCGACTACGTTCACCTCAGGTCGGGGAACTGCGTCGACGTAGGTGCCGGTGGATCTCCAAGATGCCATCTCGGCGTACATAGCAGCTATCCACTAAGAGGCCCAGGGTCCCGAGGTCGCTTAAGAGGTGAAGTCCGCGACAGCAGCGACAAGAGTGTCAAGACTGGAGAAAGGAACAGACGGGTCCATAACGAGGAAGGCAAGGACCCGAGGAACAAGAGGACGAGCGGACGAGCGGCACGAAGGTAGTCAGACAGAGGAGGCGGAGCGACAACGAGCGACAACGGAGGAGGCAAGGGGAGGAGGGGGGGACGAGACGCATGGGAACATAGCAACATGGGGTGAGAGTGCTGGACAGGAAAGACAGGACGAGCACGAGAGGGACGGCGAGACCAGAATTGGGACGGAGGCGTCGGGTCAGGAGAAACAGGAGGGGACACAAGAGGGGAACGAGGGGGGAAACGAGCTAGGGACGGGGGGGGAAACGAGCCGGGGACGAGTCCGGCGGAAGAAAAACATGGCCGTAGACAGGCAGAGGAGGCGGCGATGGGGGAGGCGCGGGTGGGTGGTCAAGGGAGGGAAGGCCGAGCAGACGAAGGGCGGACACCGGCGGCGACTGCTGCTGCTGCTGCTCCACGCCGACACCAGGACCGCCACCTGCACCACGACTAACTCCGGAATGCTCCACTTCAGCACCTCCAGATGGAGAACCCTCTTCAGCACCGGTGCCACCCCCGAGACCGCCGGGACAAGCCACGATAGGAACCCCAGGACCAGCACCCCCAGAACCAGCACTGGCGCTAGGGCTAGACAGAAAGGGTCATCAGGGAGGGGATCAGGCGCAGGGGGGAGGGGAAGCAAGCCATCAACATGCACAGCTAGGGAGTGCCCATCCTGGCGCTGACCTGTGAGGTGACGGCGGAGATTGACAAGCCAGGCGGCGAAGTCGATCGCGTGCCCCTCCGCGTCAGGCGAAATACAGGGTCCGCCATCGTGCGACCTCAGCGACACAGCTCCACGGCGGCACAGCGGCACAACTATACAGCGGCACGGCGGCACAGCGACACAGCTACACAGCGGCACAGCAGCGCGACAGCAGAACTCCCCGGCAAGAAGACCGAGCGGAAGGTCGAGCGGGGCTCACTGGGCTGGCAGAGCACGACGGGCCGGCAGTGCGCGAAGAAGACCGGCGAGGCCCGATGGGCCGGCTGGGATTAAAAGGGGCCGGCTGGGATTAAAAGGGGCCGGCGGGGCGCTAGGGCCAGGCGAGGCGGGGAAGGGACCAGTGGGGTGCAAGGGCCAGAGAGGCGCTAAGGGACCAGTGGGCGCGCGAGGGGCCAGCGGGGCGCTAAGGGTCGGCTGGGCGCAGGAGGGACCAGCTGGGTGCGAGGGCCGGGAGGGGCGCGAGGGGCTAGCGGGGCGCGTAAGGGACCAGCGGGGCGCGAGGGGCCGGCGGGGCGCGTAAGGGACCGGCGGGGCGCGATGGGCCGGCGGGGCGCTAAGGGACCAGCGGGCGTGTAAAGGGTCGGCGGGGCGCTAAGGGCCGGCGGGGCGCTAGAGCGACCAGAGGGGCACGGGGGCAGGGCGGGGCACGAGGGGTGCTAAGGGGACCAGCGGGCGCGCGAGGGGTCGATGGGGCGCTAAGGGCCGGCGGGGCGCTAGGGCTTGGCGGGGCGCGTAAGGGACCAGTGGGGCGAGGGACTAGCGGGGCGCGCTAACGAGGCTGGCGGGGCGCTGAGGACTAGCGGGGCGTGCTAAGGCCAGCAGGGCGCGATGAGGGAACGGGGGGGCGCTAGGCTAGGGCGAGGGCGGAAGCGGGTGGGCGGACCTAGCCTACTATGATACCACCTTAGAATAGCAGAATGAATAGAAACAAGGTACCGTATTCCCCCGTATAAAACACCCTAGGGTGGTAACCAAAATGCCCCCAAATTTTGAGGGGGGTGTAATTAGTGGCTAATTTTGTATAACGCCTGGGTGTTGTGGAACATGCGTATGTGATATTGTTTCTCCTAAACAAAATGCACTGTCGTACTCTGCTGTATTTGGTTTTTCCCCTCGACATCGCGTACGGAAGTGGTGAAACACCAAACAGCCAATCCGTAGGAGGCATGGCATGATTTTCTTGGCGGGAAGGCGAGTGCGACCCGAAATTCAAGTAGCGAACATTGAGTTACGAGGATTCAAGGGACCCACTTGTTCGGGCAGTCAAAATGGGTCTCGAATTTTTCTGTGTCACACCTCTTGAACCGCGCTGTATACGGTAGGTTCCTCGATAAGTTTCCCACTAGCTCTCACGCTCAGGTGATGGCACAGCAGGAGGAGTGGTCGAAAAAGAGGGTATCGCTCGTCTATGCTACTCGAACTCAAAAGTGATCTTGAAAGTTTTGGGGGGGTGTTCAAATATTTGCAGGCAAAAAAGACGAGTGCTATGTATATCCACTTTAATTAAGCACCCATGTCCGCTCAAGCCACCCACAGGCGTTCAATTTTGCGGGGTGTCGTATACGGGGGAATACGGTACTTTAAGAATAAATTAATACGGGAAGTACCTCCAGTAACAGCCAGTATTAACAAGTTGTAACACCAGAGTCAGTGTTACAGCCTTGCGATACTTCAAGACTTAACCAAGGATCTTTGCTGGAATGGTAGACTAGTAAGACAGCGGAAGTCTTAGAACTTGTAACGTGTTGACCAGAATTTACTGAAGAACAAGTTAATAGTTGAAGTTGTACAAGCTACTTTTATATCTGCTAGAAGTACCTATTCGGTGAGGTACCTGTTCGAGCTATTTGCACTATGTGTGAAACTAGGAACTAGGACGCCATGAAAGTGGCGTGAGGTTTTAGGAGCTAGGAGGAGGACTAGGAGAGGGAGATTTGACGCGAGAGAAGAGGACTGACTAGGAAGAGAGAGGGATACAAGAAGGGGTATTGTACCCTCTACAGCAATGTTCAGTAACG